AGACATACCATGCCAACAGAAATGAAAAAAGAGCAGGCGTAGCCATCTTAATATCAGACAACATAAACTTTACCACAAAAACTGTTAGGAGAGACAAAGAGGGGCACTATATAATGATTAAGGGATCAATTCAACAGGAAGATATAACGATTATCAACGTATATGCACCTAATTACCGGGCACCGGTTTATCTAAAAGATTTGTTAAGGGACTTAAAGGGAGACTTAGACTCCAATACAATAGTGCTGGGGGACTTCAACACTCCACTCTCAGAAATAGACAGCTCAACAGGACAGAAGATCAACAAGGAGACAGTAGATTTAAATGACACTATAGCCCAAATGGATCTAACAGATATCTACAGAACTTTTCATCCTACACAGAAAAATTTACATTCTTCTCAGCAGGACATGGAACCTTCTCTAGAATTGACCACATACTAGGCCATAAAGCAAGTCTCAGCAAATTCAAAAGAATTAGAATCATACCATGCAGCTCTCAGACCATAAAGGAATGAAGTTGGAAATTAGCAACTCAGGAATCCCTAGAGCATACGCAAACACATAGAGATTGAACAACATGCTCCTGAATGAACAGTGGGTCATAGAAGAAATCAAAAGAGAAATCAAAAATTTTCTGGAAGTAAATGAGGATAACAGCACAACATACCAAAACTTATGGGATACAGCAAAAGCAGTGTTAAGAGGAAAGTTTATATCAATATGTGCCTACATCAAGAAATTGGAAAGGCACCAAATAAATGAGCTTTCAGCGCACCTCAAGGACCTAGAAAATCTGCACCAAACCAGACCCAAATCTAGTAGGAGAAGAGAAATAATTGAAATCAGAGAAGAAATCAACAGGATTGAATCCAAAAAAAATTACAAAAAATCAGCCAAATGAGGAGCTGGTTTTTTGAAAAAATAAACAAAATTGACACCCCATTGGCCCAACTAATTAAAAAAAGAAGAGAAAAGACCCAAATCAATAAAATCAGAGATGAAAAAGGAAACATAACAACAGACACCACAGAAATAAAAAGAATCATCAGAAATTACTACAAGGACTTGTATGCCAGCAAACGGGAAATCTATCAGAAATGGATAGATTCCAGGACACATACAACCTACCTAAATTGAACCAGGAAGACATAGAAAACCTAAACAGACCCATAACTGAGACAGAAATTGAAATAGTAATAAAGGCCCTCCCAACAAAAAAAAAAAAGCCCAGGATCAGATGGATTCACTGCTGAATTCTACCAGACATTTAAAGAAGAACTAACTCCAATTCTTCTCAAACTATTCAGAACAATCGAAAAAGATGGAATCCTCCCAAATTCTTTTTATGAAGCCAGCATCACCTTAATCCCTAGTCCAGAAAAAGATGCAGCATTGAAAGAGAATTACAGACCAATATCCCTGATGAACATAGACGCAAAAATCCTCAATAAAATTCTTGCCAATAGAATACAACAACACATCAGAAAAATCATCCACCCAGACCAAGTGGGATTTATCCCTGGCATGCAGTTATGGTTCAATGTGCACAAAACAATCAATGTGATACACCACATTAACAGACTAGAGAAGAAAAACCATATGATTATCTCAATAGAAGCAGAGAAAGCATTTGATAAAATACAACACCCGTTCATGATGAAAACTCTAAGCAAACTGGGTTTGGAAGGAACATTCCTCAATACAATCAAAGCAATTTAAGAAAAACCCACAGCCAACATCCTATTGAATGGGAAAAGGTGGAAGCATTTCCACTGAGATCTGGTACCAGACAGGGATGCCCACTCTCACCACTGCTATTCAATATAGTTCTGGAAGTTTTAGCCAGAGCTATTAGGCAAGAAAAAGAAATTAAAGAGATACAAATTGGGAAGGAAGAAGTCAAACTATCCCTCTTTGCAGATGATGTGATTCTTTATTTAGAGGATCCAAAGAACTCTACTAAGAGACTATTGGAACTCATAGAAGAGTTTGGAAAAGTAGCAGGATATAAAATCAATGCACAAAAATCAACAGCCTTTGTATACACAGACAATGCCATGGCTGAGGAAGAACATCTAAGATCAATCCTATTCACAATAGCTACAAAAACAATCAAATACCTTGGAATAAACTTAACCAAGGATGTTAAAGATCTCTATGATGAGAATTACAAAACCTTAAAGAAAGAAATAGAAGAGGATCCAAAAAATGGAAAAATCTTCCATACTCATGGATTGGAAGAATCAATATCATCAAAATGTCCATTCTCACAAAAGCAATTTACAGATTCAATGCAATACTAATCAAAATACCGAAGACCTTCTTCTCATATCTGGAAAAAAATGATGCTGAAATTCATATGGAGGCACAGGAGACATCAAATAGCTAAAGCAATCTTGTACAACAAAAACAAAGCCGGAGGCATCACAGTACCAAATTTCAGAACATACTAAAGGGCAGTTGTTATCAAAACAGCATGGTACTGGTACAGAAACAGATGGACAGACCAATTGAGCACAATAGAAACACCAGAAATCAACCCAAACATCTACAGCCAACTTATATTTGATCAAGGATCAAAAACCAATCCCTGGAGTAAGGACAGTCTATTCAATAAATGGTGCAGGGAAAATTGGATTTCCACATGCAGCATCATGAAGCAAGACCCCTACCTTTCACCTTACACAAAAATTCATAAAACATGGATTAAAGACTTAAATCTACAACCCGACACCATCAAATTATTAGAGAGCATTGGAAAAACTCTGCAAGATATAGGTACTGGCAAAGACTTCTTGGAAAATACCCCAGAAGCACAGGCAGTCAAAACCAAAATTAACAATTGGGATTGCAGCAAATTGAGAGGTTTCTGTAATGCAAAAGAAACAGTCAGGAAAGTGAAGAGGCAACCAACAGAATGGGAAAAAATATTCGCAAACTATGCAACAGATAAAGGGTTAATAACCAGAATCTACAAAGAGATCAAGAAACTTCACAACATCAAAACAAACAACCCACTTAAGAGATGGGCCAAGGACCTCAATAGACATTTTTCAAAAGAGGAAATCCAAATCGCCAACCGACACATGAAAAAATGTTCAGGATCACTAGCAATCAGGGAAATGCAAGTCAAAAGCACAATGAGGTTTCACCTCACCCCGGTTAGAATGGCTCACATTCAGAAATCTACCAACAACAGATGCTGGCGAGGATGTGGGGAAAAGGGGACACTAACCCACTGTTGGTGGGAATGCAAACTGGTTAAACCACTATGGAAGTCAGTCTGGAGATTCCTCAGAAACCTGAATATAACCATACCATTCAACCCAGCCATCCCACTCCTTGGAATTTACCCAAAGGAAATGAAATTGGCAAACAAAAAAGCTGTCTGCACCTTAATGTTTGTTGCAGCAGAATTCACAATAGCTAAGACCTGGAACCAACTGAAATGCCCATCAACAGTAGACTGGATAAAGAAATTATGGGATATGTACTCTTTAGAATACTATACCGCATGAGAAACAACGAAATCCAGTCATTTGCAACAAAATGGAGGAATCTGGAACACATCATGCTGAGTGAAATAACCCAGTCCCAAAGGGACAAATACCATATGTTCTCCCTGATCGGTGACAACTGACTGAACACCAAAAAGGAAACCTGTTGAAGTGAAATGGACACTATGAGAAACGGTGACTTGACCAGCATAGCCCTGACTGTTAATGAACAACTTAATACATTATCCCTCTTAGTAGTTTTTTTGTCTGTTCTACTTAATATGACTGGTTTAATTCTATAATTAATACACAGTTATTCTTAAGTGTTGAAATTTAACTGAAATGTGAACCCCGTTAAACCTAAGAGTGGGAATAAGAGAGGGAAGAGATGTACAATCTGGGACATGCTCAGGCTGACTTGCCCCAAATGGTAGAGTTAGAAACATACCAGGGGATTCCAATTCAATCCCATCAAGGTGGCATGTACCAATGCCATCTCACTAGTCCAAGTGATCAATTTCAGTTCACAATTGATCATAATGAAAGGACTAAGAGTCAAAGGGAGCACATAAACAAGTCTAGTACCTGCTAACACTAACCGATAGAATAAATAAAGGGGAGAGCGATCCAACATGGGAAGCGAGATACTCAGCAGACTCATAGAATGGCAGATGTCCTAAATAGCACTTTGGCCTCAGAATCAGCCCTAAAGGCATTGGGATCCGGCTGAAAAGCCCATGAGAGTATTTCAGGCATGGAAAGCCAAGACACTCTGGGGGAAAAAAAAACCTAAATGAAAGATCTCTGTGAGTGAGATCCCAGTGGAAAGAACAGGTCTTCAAAGAAGGAGGTACCTTTCTCTGAAGGGAGGAGAGAACTTCCACTTTGACTACTACCTTGTCTAAATATGATCAGAGTCAGTGAACTCAGGGGGCTTCCATAGCCTTGGCAACTCATGACAAGAGCCTAGGGTGATTACTGATGCCATAAACAAGAGTGTCAATTTGTTAAGTCAACAACAGGAGTCACTGTGCACTTACTCCTCATGTAGGATCTCTGTCCTTAATGTGCTGTACACTGAGACTTAATGCTATAACGAGTATTCAAACAGTATATTTCACTTTGTGTTTCTATGGGGGTGCAAACTGTTGAAATCTTTACTTAATGTATACTAAACTGATCTTCTGTAAAAAAAAAAAAAAGAAGAAATTATCAATTCCCAACTTGATTCTCACTGGGATTAAACATGACAATAGATCTGATCTGATTTCATCATCATTTAAAAAATCATCTATTATTTTTCCCTTTATGTTTCTGTGTGGGAGCAAACTGTTTAAATCTTTACTTAATGTATGCTAAACTGATCTTCTGTATATTAAGATAATCAAAAATGAATCTTGATGTGAATGGAAGGGGAGAGGGAGTGGGAGAGGGGAGGGTTGTGGGTGGGAGGGACGTTATGGGGGGGAAGCCATTGTAATCCATAAACTGTACTTTGGAAATTTATATTCATTAAATAAAAGGTAAAAAAAAAACTCATGGGAAATCTGTATTCTGAAAAAAAAAGAAAGAAATTATGGGACATGTACTCTATAGAATACTATACAGCAGTCAAAAACAACGAAATCCGGTCATTTGCAACAAGATGGAGGAATCTGGAAAACATTATGCAGAGTGAATTAAGCCAGTCCCAAAGGGGCAAATATCATGTGTTCTCCCTGATTGGCGACAACTAACTGAGCACCAAAGGGGAAACCTGTTGAAGTGAAATGGACACTATGAGAAACAGTGACTTGATCAGCTATTGTCCTGACGGTTGATGTACAATGTAATACTTTATCCATTTTAGTAATTTTCTCTTTGTTTTGTTCTAGTACTATTGGTTGAACTCTGTGATTAACACACAATTATTCTTAGGTGTTTAAATTTTAACTGAAAAGTGATCCCTGTTAAATATAACAGTGGGAGTAAGAGAGGGAGGAGATGTACAATTTGGGACATGCGCAATCGGACTTGCCCCAAATGGTGGAGTTGGAATCATGCCAGGGGATCCCAATACAATCCCATCAAGATGGCATGTACCAATGCCATCTCACTAGTCCAAGTGATCAATTTCTGTTCACAATTGATCACACTCATAGGTCTAAGAGTCAAAGGGATCACACAACAAGTCTAGGGTCTGCTAGTACTAACTGATAGAATCAAAAAGGGAGAGAACGACCCAACATGGGAAGCGAGATACACAGCAGACTCATAGAATGGCAGATGTCCTAAATAGCACTCTGGCCTCAGAATCAGACCTTAAGGCATTCGGATATGGCTGAAGAGCCCATGAGAGTATTTTAGGCATGGAAATCCAAGACACCCTGGGAAAAAAAAAAAAAGAAGACCTAAATGGAAGATCTGCGAGTGAGATCCCAGTGGAAAGAACGGGGCCATCAAAGAAGGAGGTACCTTTCTCTGAAGGGAGGAGTGAACTTCCACTTTGACTGTGACCCTGTTGGAATAAGATCAAAGTCGGCGAACTCAAAAGGCTTCCATAGCCTTGGCAACTCATGACTTCAGCCTAGGGAGATTACTGACGCCATAAACAAGAGTGTCAAATTGTTAAGTCAACAACAGGTGTCACAGTGTACTTACTTCTCATGTAGGATCTGTCCTTAGTGTGTTGTCCAATGTGAAGTAATGCTATAACTAGTACTGAAACAGTATTTTACACTTTGTGTTTCTGTGTGGGTACAAACTGATGAAATCTTTACTTAATATATACTGAATTGATCTTCTGTATATAAAGATAATTGAAAATGAATCATGATGTGAATGGAATGGGAGAGTGAGCAGGAGATGGGAGGGGTGTGAGTGGGAGGGAAATTATGGGGGGAGCCATTGTAATCCATTAACTGTACTTTGAAAATTTATATTACAAAATAAAATTTAAAAAAATTTAAAAAAAGAACATTTACCTGAGGTCACCTGATGGCTATCCCAGTCTATTTCAGATAAAGCAATCACATTGTTAGTTTCCTTCTTGATTAATTAGTTTTTGTATTTATCTGTGATGTGAAAATGAACAGAATTGTACATTTAAACCAACACAGGACTCATTGCTTTCAATGAAATGATTGCAGTGGAACCCTAAGCAGGGATTGAGAGGCAGAAAGTGGTTTCACTAAAAGTAGAACATGGATCCAATTAAGAGGAGGAGAAAAATACAGTGGTAACAGAGGAGAGATCCACAGACAAGGGGGGGATATTTATTGCTTATTATTGTTCATTTCCATTCTGTTTACAGAGAGGCAGATACAGAAAGACATAAGGAGAGACATCTCCCACGTGCTGGTTCATGTTTCAAGTGCATGGAACCCAACTAATTGGATAACTACCTGCTGCCTCTCAGGGAAGAGGTGGGACAGGAACCATGGCAGAACCTAGTAGAAACCCTACTCACAGATGCTAAGAGGCAGTCCTCTAAACAGACCCAGAACCTTGCACAAAACACAGAAATCTATACTCCAGCTGCTAAATATAGACTATAACATTCATTTGTAAAAGGAAGGATTCTATGTATTAAACATTGTCTTGCTATTTTTCGCTAAGCTGGTGGTCATCATAACCAAATGAAACAAACCAATGGAACACAGCTGCAGAATTCCTTCTCCTGGGATTCTCAGAGGACGCAGCACTGCAGCCCCTCATATGTGGGCTCTTCCTCTCCATATACCTGGTCACTGTGGCTGGGAACCTGCTCATCATCCTGGCCATCCTCTCAGACCCCCACCTCCACACGCCCATGTACTTCTTCCTCTCCAACTTGTCCTTGGTGGATGTCTGCTTCACCTCCACCACCATCCCCAAGACGCTGGTGAACATCGAGATGCAGAGCAAAGCCATCAGCTATGCAGGCTGCATCACCCAGATGTTCTTCTTCATGCTATTTGCAGAGATGGACAACTTTATCCTGGCTGTGATGGCCTATGACAGGTTTGTGGCCATCTGTCACCCCCTGCACTACACAGTCATCATGAACCCCCAGCTCTGTGTGCAGCTGGTTTTGGTGTGCTGGGTCATCAGTGTCCTGCATGCCTTGTTGCACAGCCTACTGGTGCTGCAGCTGTCCTTCTGTGCACACCTGGAAATCCCCCACTTCTTCTGTGAACTGAATCAGGTGATCCACAGTGCCTGCTCTGACACCTTTCTTAATGATGTGGTCATGTATTTTACAGTTATGCTGTTGGGTGGGGGTCCACTGGCAGGGATCCTTTACTCCTACTCTAAGATCGTCTCCTCCATCTGTGCAATTTCTTCTGCTCAGGGGAAGAATAAAGCATCTTCCACCTGTGCCTCTCACCTCTCTGCTGTCTGCTTATTTTATTGCACAGGACTCGCTGTGTACTTTAGTTATCCTATTACCCAAAACCCACAGTCAAATGCAAGGGCTTCGGTGATGTACACAGTGGTCACCCCCATGCTGAACCCCTTCATCTACAGCCTGAGGAACGAAGACATAAACAGGGCCCTGAAGAAGTCTCTAGGAGAGAAATCATAAATGTGCAATTGTCTTGGGGCTGAACAAGAGTCAAGGATTTCAGGGATCAAAGCCTCAGAGTTGGAAATTCCTGCTGTTGGATCTGATTGTGAAAGTAGAATTTCCTCCTCTGTTTATATGCTGGACTCTCTATCATATTGATTTCAACCTCTCTGTGCATTTTAAACAACTCACATAGAAAGTAATCAGGGGTCCTCAGTATCCCACAGGTTTTCCCTTAGGTGTTTTCTTATCCTCAAACATTGTATTAGAAGTATTTTCATATTCCCATTTGTCTCATGGAACAGTAAGGATGTCTTAGGAGTAATTATTTTCTACCTGATATACATTGTACTGAGTAGCATTTCTTTGGTTTTATGGGAAAAAATTCATGTGTGTTACTCCTACGGAAGGCCTACACATGGCAACTCAGCTCATCTACCTAGTTTATAGATCATGAAAAGCTGATGCCACAGCTTTTCTCTTTTACCCCCATCATTCTTGTGTATCCACTCCTTTTAAGGCTCTCCCTGATAATGTGGAATTTACCTTGTTCATTTGATTTACAACTTGTCAGTGAGGTTTAACTCACCCTTTAAGATCCTGTTCTATTTCAGCTTCATGCCCATTGTGACCACCATAGATGTGGAAACCAATCCCTAAGGTATCTGCTGCATGGTTTTCTTAGGAAGACAGGTTTACTGTCTATAGATCATTTTGAAATGATATCAGTATACGAATGGTGAACAGATGAGTGGTTCTTAAGAGGCAGATGCTGGGTGAGGAGATGGGTGGTTGTGGCTGCACAAAGGCTACACTGGGGGTTTTACGCATGGCATCTTATGTGCATGCTTTGTATTTTGGTTGGTCCTGATGTTAATGTCCTGTGTGTGATGCTTCACTGTGTTTTTCAAGCTGTTACCATTGAGGACACTGAATTGAAGGGTGCATCATCTCCCTCACTCATTCTTACAAATGCCTGTGCTGCTCATGAAGTGCCAGGGAACCAGTGAGCCCCTGCACCCCTGAGCTGCCTGGCCAGTGGTGTGCCCCTTCCCCAGCCCTTGTAACAAACTCCTCTTCTGCTCCCCATGGCCATAGCTGCTCCGTGATCATTCCTTCACAGAATGAACAGTTTTGTGCCCTTTCTACTGGCAGCCATTGGGAACGTTTCCAAGGGCCTTTATCCAGTCCAGCGCTGCAGCCAGGGCACTGCCCACTGCCCAGCCCCCCCACCCCCACCCCAGCATTTGGGGTGTCATCCTTCCACACCCTCGGTGGAGACATCAGCAAGTTAGAGCATCATCGGGATCTCGGGCCGGTGTGTGTGTGTGTGTGTGTGTGTGTGTGTAGCTGACCTGAGCAGGTGCTCAGAAGCTTCAGACGCCCCCTGGAGAACGGCACGGAGCAGTGCCACATGGATGCCCGAACCTGTGTGGGTTGACCCCTGTTTAAAGCTGCTGCTGCTTCCTGCTGGGGCAGGGTCCCCGCCTGCTGGCCGTCTTCCTCGTGGCTGTGTCCTGGCATTTACGTGGTGAGCGGGTCCTGAACCACCTCCAGGAAGTACAGATGTCCCTAAGGGAGATGATTTCCTGAAGGCGTGAATAGCCAGCGTCTGCTCTGCCACCACCTGTGCACTTGGGGTGCTCTGGTGTGGCCCCCACCCCTGCACCCCTGCACCCCTGGGCTGCCCGGCCACTGGCCCTCTTGTACCCCGGACGCCTAGTGGCTTGGTCATGGGTTGCAGCAAAACCTTTTAACAGCCCTGCTGCTTGTCTGCAATGGGCCTGTTTGGGGGTCAGGGGCATCTTGGGCCTGCACAGGGTGGGCTCCAGCTCAGTGCCCTGCCTCAGGCTGATGGTGCCTGGGACCCTTGGCTCATCTGCTGTAGGAGCCCTGGGCAGCCTGAGCTGCTGGCTCTGCAGGGAAGAGGCCTCCCTGGCTGGCTGTGATCTGAGTGCCCTGGTAGGGAGGGGCGGTGCTGTCCAGAACGGGGTGCTTGCACCTTCCACTGCTTCTGTGTGTGCTGCCCCCCCCCAGGTCCCCTTGAGCCTGCTGTGGAGCTGAGCTCAGCCCTCTGACACCTAGCCCTCTCCCTGGTCACCAAAGGTGGCTTCTGTCATGGCAGCAATGAGACATTGAGGCCAGAAGGGGCCACCAGTACACAGAGCATCATCTCAGCCTGCACAGGGAGCAGGGAGGGAGCAGGTGCCAGCCCTGGCCTGGCTGGACCTGGATCCCTGGGGCTGGGGCTGGGGCAAGGCTGGGGCAGGGGGCAGCAGTCATGGGGCCCAAGGTCGGTTGGCAGGCAGGACACAAGGCCGACAGCTGTGCCCCCTGGTGGGGGCTAGACAACCACCTGTGGGTCCTTATGTCACAGATGAGGAAACAGGCAGGTGCCTGAGACAGGGTCCATAACCCCCCTCCCCCAACACCCCATCCATCCAACACCTCCCGGTCTGCAGGTCCCCAGTGATTTGCTGTAGATGGGGAGATACTGCGTATCCTCCATTGCCGGCTTCTGCCCCTGGCTTTGGCTGTGCCGGGGACCTCAGGTGGCTGCTAATCTCATCAATCCGGGGCCTTCACCCAAGCCACAGATGGCTCTGCCAGGCTCCAAGCCTTGTCAGGGTTCACCCTGGTCCATGCTGTGGTGCGGCAGATGGGGTGTGTGCGCAGGCATGTGTACGGGGTGGGGAGTCTTGTGTGTGCTCAGCAGTTGTGCCCGTGTGTGAATGGTGTGCACCCGGAGGTGTGTAGCAGTGTGCAGTGTGCAGACGGGCACAGGCAGCTGTGGTGTGTGTACAGCTGCACGCAGGCTTCTCAGAGTCACCGGCCCAGTGGACAGCAGACCCCAGCCACTGCGGGCCCTGGGCAGCAGAGCTGGACACAGACACATCACCTGGCTGCAGGCAGCTTCAGAGGGGCACTACTGAGAGACCTACAAATGGGAACCAGATCTATTAAAAATAGATTATTTTATATGAGAGCAGCAAGAGAGACAGAGACGTCCCATCTGCCAGTTCACTTCACAGACGCCTGTGCCATCCAGGACAGGGCCAGGCTGAAGCCAGGAGCTGGCAATGCAATCCAGGTCCCTGATGGGGGTGGCCCAGAACCACCTGTCACTTAGGGGACCTGCACTACCAGGAAGCTGGAATCAAAAGTGGAGCCCAGACTTGAACCAAATACTCCACCATCCAGCATGGGATGCCTGGGCATCATAACCTCTAGCCCCGAACACCCACCCTTGGGAAACTTCTAGAACTACAGATCAGAGGCCCTGAGAAGGCTGTGGCAGAGCGAGCATGCTGTGAGCATGTCTGCGGGCTGTTCAAGTTTCCTATCAAAACCCAGGGCTGGGAGGCCAGCGCCACCGTGGTGCAGTAGGTTAATCCTCTACCTGTGGTGTCGGCATCCCATATGGGCACTGGTTCTAGTCCCAGCTTCCCTCTTCCAATCCAGCTCTCTGTATGGCCTGGGAAAGCAGTAGAAGATGGTCCAAGTCCTTGGGCCCCTGCACTCGCATGGGAGATCGGGGAGAAACACCTGGCTCCTGGCTTCGGATCAGAGCAGCTCCGGCCATTGCAGCCAATTGGGGAGTGAACCATTGGATGGAAGACCTCTGTCTCTCTCTCTGCCTCTCCTCTCTCTGTATAACTCTGACTTTCAAAATAAATAAATAAATCTTTAAAAATATATATATAACCCAGAGCTGTGAACCAGATTCAGGAGTGACTTGGGAGATCCACCCCACAGTCCCTCCCCCACCCCCACCCCAGCCAGGTCAGAGCCATTCCCCTCCCCCCACCATCATGGGGGCATTGCCATGGTTGCCGGGTCATGTGCTCTGTGAGGCGCCTTGGGTTCCATGTGACCCCATAGGTCCCCTCCTCACTTCTCAAGTCAGCCTTCACTGAGCGAGAAGCCTTTGGTTGGACTTCGCTGTCCAGATTGAATTCCAATTGCAGTGAGTTAGGGATTCTGGTACCCAGGAGTTGGGGGGGGGGAGCCTGTGGGGAGCTGATGCTGAGCTGAAGGGCTGTTTCTCAGTGAGAGGTGGAAGATGGGAG